GGTTGGAGGCAGGCGGCGATGTTGAGACTGATGGCGGCGTCGTCGACGCCAAGCCTAAAGGATGTGACGGCTATGTCGAGGTGGAGGGTTGGCGGCGGCTAGGGCGAGCCGAACGGCGGCGCCGGCGACGACGATTGTAACGGGGGTGGCGGCGATGGCGAGGCGGAGGGACGCGGCGGTGAGGGCGAGGCGGACGGAGGCGGCGGCGACGGCGAGGTGGAGGCCGGCGGCGGCGAGGTCGATGTGGAGGGAGGCGGCGGCGACGACGAGGCGGACGGAGGCGGCGGCGAGGGCGAGGTGGAGGGAGGCGGCGGCGAGGGCGACGCGGAGGGAGGCGGCGGCGACGGCGAGGCGGAGGGAGGGGGCGGTGACGGTGAGGTGGACGGCGGTGGCGGCGATGGTGAGGCGGACGGAGGCGGTGGTGACGGTGAGGTGGACGGCGGCGGCGGAGACGGTGAGGCGGAGGGAGGCGGCGGCGAGGGCGACGCGGAGGGAGGCGGCGGCGACGGCGATGTCGAGGGAGGCGGCGGCGAGGGCGACACGGACGGAGGCGGCGGCGATGGCAAGGTGGAGGGAGGCGGTGGCGAGGGCGAGGCGGACGGCGGTGGCGGCGACGGCGATGCTGAGGGCGGCGGGGGCGACGGCGATGCCGAGGGAGGCGGCGGCGACGGCGAGGCGGACGGAGGCGGCGGCCAGGGCGAGGCGGAGGGAGGCGGTGGCGAGGGCGAGGCGGAGGGAGGCGGCGGCGAGGGCGAGGCGGACGGAGGTGGCGGCGACGGCGATGCTGAGGGCGGCGGTGGCGACGGCGATGCCGAGGGAGGCGGCGGCGACGGCGAGGCGGACGGAGGCGGCGGCGAGGGCGAGGCGGACGGAGGCGGTGGCGAGGGCGAGGCGGACGGCGGTGGCGGCGACGGCGATGCCGAGGGAGGCGGCGGCGAGGGCGACACGGACGGCGGCGGCGGCGATGGCGAGGTGGAGGGAGGCGGTGGCGAGGGCGAGGCGGAGGGCGGCGGCAGCGACGGCGAGGCGGACGGCGGTGGCGGAGACGGCGAGGCGGACGGCGGCGGCGGCG